CATCTCCTCTTGCTCTGCCAACACATGTTCCTTTCCATTCAGCAACGGTCAGTCCAGCAGCATCCTTCATGGAACCACATCTTCCTGCAAGCCGCAGCCCCCATCCAAATGGCTCTCCGCCTGCTGCTGTCCCTCTCTCTCCCACATTCCACACGGCACTTGCCCGTGCTTCATTCACATCACTCACTCACAATCGCTCTGCTCTCCAACTGTCCGTTAATCCACTTCACTATGGACTTTCATCCTCTCTCTTGCACTCATGCCTCTCTGTACTTCATCCTCACTTCTCCTCAGTTCTCTCATGAGTCTCAACCTGACTGCTGGAGAGCTCCCTTCCTCTTTCTCCGCCTTTACTTTGCTTTCCCACCTGTGAGTCTTCTCGAGTACCTTCCTTCCTGCCCCTTGATCCCATGTCTTGTAATTTCTCCTCCCATGTTCTATGCATCTGTGAGACAACCACCAGAACACAATCATCAGACTGGTGTCACCTTGAAAGCGTTCTTGGTGAGCCAAGGGCATCTGTAAAAAAAAAAAAAAAAAAAACAAGTATGGGAAGGGGGGGAGGGAGGATGGAAGAAGGTAAGCAATCCGTTGGGCAGCCAAGAGCGTGTTTTTGCTTTAAAAAAAAAAGGCCTCATTACCAAGTGGCATGCATACATTGTTTGTTCTCACAACAACACTACTACACCATCCCTCCGAGAATGGCGGAGGGGTCAGCAAGAGCTTGGCGGTGCGCTCACCATCTCTCCGCTCCCTTTGTTCCTTCGTCACAGGGACCTAAGTTTTCTTCCCATGACCCGCTTACCCCAATGGATCACTTCACTCTCCAGCCTCACTCATTTGTGAGTGGCACCATGAGCCCCTCGCCCCACATGGCTCCTACTATGATCAGTACTTCCTGTTGCACGTTGCACTAGGAATGAGCAAAACCCGCGCACGAACGAGTTCGGGTGGAACATGCCTCGAGCATTCTTGGGTGGTGAACCGAACATGGCCGGTTCGACCCTAATACATTCAGCAAGGAGAGGTGTTCCGATGTTCGCCTTTGTAGACGAACACCTTAATGATCACCTGAGAACATGTTCGTGTTCGGCAAGTATGCCCATTTCGTTCTACTCACACTTCCTGAACGTTAAATTTCAGTGTTCTAGGTGGCGAGGTAAGGAGGAAAGTTTAACGTGCAATGAAAGAGTGAGGCAATTGAAAACCAGACATTGGCTGGTAAGTAGGGGTGTGCATGGTAAGTGCAATACGAAGATCATTCGTAAGTACAAAGTATGTCATCCAGGACTACCAACACACGGCCCCAACCTCAGAGGAATTGCACAATGGTCAAAGGAGTTGCACGATGGTTGGAGGAATTGCACAATGGTTTGAGGAATTGCATGATGGTTAGAGGAATTGCACGATGATTAGAGGATGGTTAGAGGAAATGCACGATGGTTAGAGGAATTGCACAATGATTAGAGGAATTGCACGATGGTTAGAGGAATTGCCCAATGATTAGAGGAGTTGCACGATGGTTAGGGGAATTGCACAATGTGAGGGAAAGAGGCAGATGTACGTTGATGCACTTGCCGCGCTCCCCCCGTTGATGAACTTGCAGTGCTCCCCCCCCATGCCTGCCCCACTCTCTGCCCCAAGATTGAAGTGCTCCGTGCGTCCCCCAACCCTCCTGCCCTTGACTGCCCTGCAGGGATGTCACCGGCAACTTTGATGTCCACCACGCTGCTCCGTTCCCCACCGATTGGACAGCGCTCACAGGACTGGTCACTTTGTGAGGCATCTGCCAGTCAAGGCCACACCGTTCACACCGTTCACAGCGTTCACACCGTTCACAGCGTTCATGGAATCTGCTCACCTCACCGTTCAAAGCCATTTATTCCTGATACCGCCCACCAAGCACCGAGTCTATCGCTCACTGCGCCCATTTCTCATCGCGTACTGTTTCATTTCTCACGTTGCCCTTCCATCTTCACATTGCCTACTGGGCGAACCTACCCAACTCCTTCGCCCTCCAGCCATTTATTTACCCAGTGCGCCCTCCCCGAATCTTCTTCCCCCCCCCCCATCCCCCCCCCCCCACCTCCCCCTCTCACCTCCAGGCGGGCCGGTGTGAATGGCTTCACTGGCTCTATCCCCTCGACCATCTCTGCCCTCACCGCCCTCACTGACCTGTACGCCTCTCTCCTCTCTATTTCTCGCCCCCCCCCTTCCACGGGAACCCCATTAGGGAAGCAGTGGTTGTAGAAATAAGTAACCAGCTGGAGAATGGCCTGCCGACAAAGTTCCTGTGAAGGCGGTTCATTCTGTGAAGGCTGTTCGTTCTGTGAAGATGTCATTCTGTGACGGCGGTACATTGAATGAAGGAGGTTTATTGAATGAAGGAGGTATCTTAAATGTAGGAGGTTCAATGAATGAAGGAGGTTAATTGAATGAAGGAGGTTCATTATAGAAAGGAGGTTCATTGAGTAAAGGAGGTTCATTGAATGAAGGAGGTTTATTAAATACATGAGGTTCAGTCTGTGAATGTGGCTAATTACTGTGAAGGCAGCGCCAGTCTCTCCCCCTCCTCGCACTCACCTCACCAGAGATCTCAATTTCAACAACATCTCAGGAAGCATTCCTGCCAGCATCACCAAGCTCGCTGGCCTGAACCATCTGTAAGACCTCACGAACCAGCATGCCCAAATATCGTCATCAGGTTGATTCGAGGTGAACCAATTCCAGGTGAACCATGAATTGGTGCTTTGCTCATGTGTATTTCCTATCATTCCTCTGCCACAGCACCCCGTCCCCTCCTTCACTTTCAACTCGATCTTGTCTCTCCATTAATTCGCATTTGACTTTCATGTCATCAGCATTAATTCGCGAATCATATTCCATCTGTCAAGGGCGAGGCCGTGGTGTTGTGGCATAGTGCACGTCCTTCTCAACGTTTTTTGGAGTAGCTACGAAGATGATAAGGAATCGCAACGTCATAAGCAGCCATTCGTCAAAATCTACGAAGATGATAAGTGTATGGAATGACTCCACTGTACAAAGTCTCTGCATCACACTGCCACTATTCATCCAAACTACACCTGTGTGTGTTGGCCTCTCCCCACACCTCGCAACGCAACACAGGGGGCTCTCCTTCAACAATCTCACAGACGCCGTTCCTTCCATAACTGGCGAAATTATTTCTCAAGTGTGAGTGGCTTGGATTGCAAAGCGTCTCCGTGTGGTACCTCAACCTCACGTGCTTAGTGTCATTTGAATGGAATCAGGTGCTGGATTCTCCTGGCAGACTTTCTCAGTAGGCGTTTCTCTCTCTTGGCAATGTTCTGCAGGCAACCCAACTCTCATCTTGCTGCTTCAGCAATGTACAATCCTCTTTTTTATTAGGTGCCAATTAGCTGTGTTGCATTGTGTTCCCAACAGCCCAAGGTCAGTGTGGACCATACTATCGAGTTTTAGGCATGAGTAGGGTACTGGACCGAACCTGTTCGCTACCCAACCAAACCGGTCCGCTGCCAAACCGAACTGGTTTGTGAACAAACCAGTTTGCATTAAACCGGTTCTTGGATCGTTAATATAGCTAATGACCGAGCCGTACCGTTTCAACCGGTTTGGCCAAAGCAGCCTGATTTGGTACCGAACCATACCAGTTCGTTTTTTTCAGTGAGCTTTCACTATGGACCAGCTGAAACAAAAAACAAAACAACCATGGGATGGGAAACACACTGTGTTAGGTGGAGGGGGAGTATTGTGAGACTTTGAGACAGTTCAAGCTTGAAATGAGCTCCAAAAATATTTATTGGGTTATATCCGAACATGCACAACCCGGGTCGGTTTGGCGCGGCTCATGAATTTGATGAAAACGAACCGGCAAACGGGTTCAATTCGTTGACAAACTGGGAGTAAAATGAACTCGGGGAAAACCGGACCGAACTGCACCGAACTGAACTGCGGTTCGGTGCCCTGCTCATGCCTGCACATGCTCGTTCTGTGAAGCTTCACATCCCCTTCCGCGCCACCCCTCACTGTCTGTGTGCCCTCGATGCATGCAGGGACCTGTCCCACAATCACCTCACCACCATGCCTCCGACCGTCGATGCTGGAATGCTGTGAGTCTTGGGCAATTGAGATCACGTGGGCGTGAGAGCGAGAGAGAAGGGGTTAGCACTCAGCCCTCTGCCTCTGCCTCTGCCCTCTGCCCTCTGCCCTCTGCCCTCAGCCCTCTGCCTCTGTGCCTATTTAAGGGCCCCTTCTGCCCTGCCATCTTCATTGCTCGTTTTGTGTTCCCAGTGCCGGGTGGAAAGACACAAAACGGCTGGAAGTTCAAGAAAGGCACAGAAAACGAACACACGCATGCAAGTGGGGGACATCGTCTAAGAGACAACATGGTTCTACACTAGGCGGCCCACTACTGCGTGTACGGACCAGCCCCCTCCGTATCAAGCACCGAGCGCAAGCATTCTACCACCACAAGGAGCAGCTGCGCCGAGGCGTGAAGGGTGTCAACCGGGGTCCCGTCTCGCGCAGCCCCAACCAGATCCAGGACGTGGCGGGGGAAAGTACGGGCTAAGGGCGCTGCCCCGGCGGGCGCTTCCGACACGAGCGCTAAGAGGGGGACAAGGGCTTCTGCCCAAGCGACGCACGATCCTTGGGGCCCTTAAGCAAAACTGCTCGGAGTGTTCCGCATGGCCTCATACACCCCCATATGTTGGCTCGCCACCTCCTCACACGCCTTCGCCAGATTCCACATCCGGCACATGCTCAGAGTGGGGTCTCTCCCCGCGCTGCTGGGGGAGGCAGAATCAGTGCTTCACGCGGAGGATACATCGACACACAACCAGGGGTGCGACCAAAGGGACGCTGAAGTGCAGCAAAGCGAGGCGCTTGGTGTGGAGGACGGAACAGCGCCCTCACACCCCCAGCGGACAAGTACCCGCGCGGAGTCGGGAGATGCGTTGGAGTCGCCTCAGCAGCAGCAGACCAAGGGTGAGGATCAGTCGTCACTGCCACGTGCACATGCGACCCCTCTCCTCCTGCCTGCGCCTGTCGCACCGCTTCAGCGACCATATCCACGACGCGGTCCACTGCTGAGCCATGGCCGCGACCAGATCCGCCACGCCCGGAGCCACTCCGCCGCCCACGGCAGCCGCCAGATCCAGCCGACCGAGGACGCGGCGGGGACGGCTCTCGGCGGCCTGCCTCTCAGCGGCAGCCGGGAGATCCCCTCCCCATCCGCGCCGGCGACGGCCGCGATGAGCGACGCGCAGGAGACCGCAAACGCCTATCTGGAGCTCCGCGACCTTTTGGCCGACAACGAGGGGATCGGCACTCCGGGGCCGGCCGATCGTCCGCCCGATGACGAGGGGAGTCGCGGCTCGGGAGAACGGCGATGAGGAGATTGGCGCCGCGGGGGTTGACGTTGCGGCGATCACCCGCGCTCCTGACGAGCCTGGTCGGCGAGGCGGTTTGACGCAACATGAGGGAGTGACAGCCCACGCACCAGGCGGCGTGGGCGGAGGGGCGCGCAGCAACATTGGCACGAGGAGCAGCCGGCTCAGGAGCCCAGGGAGCGACAGGTTCCGCGCTCTCCGCGGTACTCTCCTGCACGTGGTCGCGACCCGCGGTTGGGTCCATTACGCCCGAGATCAGAGCCGCGGACGCCAGCGGACCGTCGAAGGGCCGACCTTGATGCCGTTACGCCACCGCGACCGAGTCGCAGCGCAGCAGCGACAAGGTCCACGGGAATCCGCGTGGAGGAAGACGAGGCGGACGGAGAGGAGGCCCCTCAGTCTAGCGGGGAGGTTCTAGCAGCTTTGCGAGAGCAGCTCAGCGGATCCTGCACGAGATTGCTAGAGAAGAAGAAGAGACACTTGACGCGACAACTGACGACAGTGCCTTGGGTGACCCACTTTTTACCCTGAAAGAGGGGAGTTCGAGTCCCTCTCCTCAGGAGCACGAGGTTGAGCCAACTCGAACTGTGGGCCGAAATTTAACCCAGAGTCGAGCCGCATCCGCAATTCGACCATGGAGGCAAATTCGAGCCGCAGGGGGAAATCGGACCGCACCAAATGCAGGGGACATTCACCCGCCATCCAATGACAACTCACCTGACCCCGCCACTCGCCAACCAATCTTCAGCGCGGGCGACCTGGCGGCCCGCTAGGACCTTTTCGCTGACATCGCAACCTGGGACCTCGCCCCCCTTCGCGACAACAGGCAGCCCCCGTTAGCCCGTCACCCTCCCCGCTCACTTCGCGAATCCTTCGCCGCCTGCCTCTTGACCCCGTTGTTACACCTTGCTCAAGATCCTGACTCTCCAGCAGGTTGGAGGCTCCTCACGTTCCTCCCGCGCATTCTGCTGCGCACTTCGTCAGCAAGGCGCCGTGACTGGAAAGGGATGGGCGACAGACTGATACGTTTTAGCCAGGGCCTATGGCGAAATTTGTATGACGAAGCTGTTGATGCAATTTCACTCCCACCTCAGCACCAACAGGTGCCAGACACGACCGGCATCTTGGCGATAGCTGAGGGATTGACCAAGCGCGGGAACTTAGCCAAATCACTCCAATCCCTCACCGCCACGCCGGTCTCAACCCCATCTGCTGCCGTGCTAGACGCGTTAGCAGCCAGACACCCACCGGCTAGGCAGGCCATTCCAGAATGGGTGCTGGACTTTGCCTTAGAACACTCACCATCAATCGCCCCCCGCAACTTCATGCGTCTCCTCGCCAAGTGCCCAAACAGAGTGGGAGTTGGCCCTTCAAGCACTACATTTGAACACCTGAGGGATGCAACTCTCGGAAACTTAGACGTTTTCACGCAGCTACACGCCCTCACGAATACTTCACTAGCCGGGAAGCTCAGCGCGGAAGCAGCGGATCTCCTCACTGCATCGCGATTGCTTGCATTCACGAAGCCGCAAGGCGGGACGAGGTTAATGGCAGTGGGCGAATGCCTACTACGACTCGTCGCCAAGGCTGGAGTGTTCCTGACTGCCTCAAGAGCGCGGAAACATTTTGCGCCGCTTCAATTCGGGGTGGCAATAGCAGGGGGTATCGAGACGGCTATACACACGGCACGCACCTTTCTGGAGCAGAACGCGGACGCAGTGGCACTGCAAATTGATCTGGCCAACGCCTTCAACGCTGTGGAGCGGGCAGCGGTGTTCGAAGGGCTCAAGGGCACCGCGCTGGATTTCTTGGATCCCCTTCATTGCTATACCACGAGTTCGAGGCAGTCCGCACGGGGCGTCCGTCAAGGAGACCTGCTTGGCCCCCTGCTGTTCACCGCCAGCATTCACCCATGCGGAGAGTCACTCTACAAAGTAATGAGCTAGACTATGGCACGAACTACTATGAGTGATCGTAGCTTTGCTTAGTTCCTTAGCGCTTGCACGTTCGGGAGAAATCGGCAAGAGTTTCACTAGGCAAAGATTGCATTGCAGAATGATTGAACAAGCAATGACAACAACGACTACATCAGGCACCTAGCAACTCTGCAGCTAGCCTGGTCGACCGCCAGCACAGCTTGGACGACCGCCTGCCAGCGTTGCGTAGAGGAGCCGCGCCAGTACTGCAGAAAGGCGACCTGCCAACACTGCAGGTTGACGGCGTGCCAACGCTGCAGCAGTGCGGCTGTCCAGCGTTGCACCCGTAGATGGCAGCAGTGCGCACGCTCGCAGGTGCGCGGAGACGATTTGCCCGACTTGCACTTTTGTGCATCCGTCGGCTGTTGTCTGCGCCTGTCGAGCCATATCGACTTCGGGATACCAGCCCGAAGTCGCCTTCGTCACTGCGACCTCGACGACGTTCGCGTGCCTCCGCAGAACTCGCCGAGCAGGTTACCTGGTCGACCTGGACACCACCAGCCAGGTCAGTGTCGACTTGTTCGACGAAAGTCAACCAGAAGTTGTACGTGCTCGTCGACCACCCAGTGCTCTGGTCGACGACTCCCTAGTCGACCACAGCTCCCGTCGAGCAACACCAAGGAACGACGGACCCCTCCGCCAACCAGCACTGTCGGCTGTTGTCGCCGAATTCCCCTCGTCGACTCCCGCTCATATGTCAGGTCGACGGACTGCTCCGTCAATCTCCCCGTCGAACCAAACTGCTCCTCCCCGTCGAGCAGCCCCTTCACTGTGAACAGTCGGCGTCGCCCAAACGAGGGCGGGGCCAACATCCCATTCCCGTTAACAACCCATGCCTAGTAGCCGCGACGGCCGCACACCCATGAGCAGTGATCCTCGCATACGCCGACGACATCACCCTCCAAATACGGCGACGCATCGGCGTGCTCGGAGGCATTCGCTTACCTTACCAACGCCCTCCTCGCCCTCGACCTGGCGCATAACCCGGCGAAATGCGCAACATGGTCAGCAGCACCTGTGGACCCAGCACCCTTGCCTCGCGACGTTCCTGTCACGTCAGATGGGATCCGCGTTCTTGGAAGCCCCATCGGTCCCCAATCAGGCTGTGCGGCGATGGTACGAGAGCGGCTGTCGGCAGCAACGGGGCCACTCTTGCTCCTAACACAGATGGACCCGCAGCTGTGCTGCTGCTACTTACACGATGCGTGGGGCGCCACGACAGGACTGCAATCCTGGACAGACGGCTACCTAGCCACCTCCTTCGCTGTGGCACAGGACACGGGTGGACAAACAGTCACAACGAGGTGTGGGATGAGTGCGTTCGCATGGCGCAAGACGCGGGGTTCATTGCGCATAAGGAGAGCACGACGTTTAGCCTGGTTGACAACAAGAAGGCCGATATAGCTATCCGGGATTGCAGCACGGGATCGGTTTGGTTGGGCGACATCCGATCACGGACCGATCAGCACCCGCAACGAAACAGCTACCTAGGGATGGTAGCTCGTGAGATGGAGATAAGAAAATAGGCCTCTACCGAACCAGGGCAGGATACGCCAATTTCTTCTTGCTGGCGGTTGAGACCTATGGTTGCCCGTGCGAGAAAGTCCCGGCCTTCCTCAAACTACTAGCTGACACAGCAGCATGCCGACACTTAAACGCGGACCAGTCTACATACCAGGCCGCGAAGATGCTGCATTAGTTCCGTCAGCGATGGGCTGTCTCCCTGCAGAGAGCACAGGCGGTGAGCTATCTCACCAAGTCCAACCTCGCAGCCAGGTTGAGAACCCGCCTGTGGGGGGACCGGAGGGGGCTCTGAACTCGGGGGATATTTTTTGCAACCCTTGAGCTCCTCAATGAAGGCAGTTAGGTGACTAGGAAGGAAAGGTCTCAGTAGACTCACCATTCCTTGCTTGCATGAGGTCTACCTTGGCCTATATTGATGAAAGGATCATTCGAGAGAAAGTGATGGGTGGTGTTGCTTCCGATTCTAGGGATGTGGTCGTAATAGTGTTGTGTAAACCCCCGGATATAAGACCCTAGGGTCTTAACATAATCGCACAAAAAAAATGGGGGGGTTCTTCACAAATGTCACCTATTTTATAAGACCCGGGTCGTAATATATGGTGTTTTTGTATAGTATGCAAGGAATTAGTACATGTTTGTTGTGTACATTTGTGTCAGTTTGACTTTGCAGCTTGGCCTCGAATATGGGTGAGGGCGCGAATGTCCTCACCCTCGAGTGTTTGCCAGGTGGCATCACTCTCGCCACTGGAAAATAGCAGAAATTGACTACGTTGACTACGCGATACCCACGCGCTTTCATTGGAATGGGAGAAAACTTGTTCTCTCTCTGAAATCGCTTCGATTTGATTATAAAAACCAGCGAATTCTACATTCTTCCTAGGGATGAGGGGGGTCTTAAAATGATTTCACTAGAAAAGGGGGGTATAACTACAACCGACCCATATAGAATACACCCCCCCCCGTATTATAGACCTGGGGGTCTACAACTGTAGGGGGTCTTATATCCGAGGGTTTACGGTACTGACGACAAGCAGGCTTGTATTTTGAATTTTCAGACTTGATTCGAGTTGAGTCAGGTCGAAACGTGTTGTTTGGTCGAGTGACTTGCTTGGTCGACATGACGTGTTTGATCGACATGACATGTTTGGCCGACATGAATTGTTTGGCCGACATGAATTGTTTGGTCGACATGAATTGTTTGGCCGACATGAATTGTTTGGTCGACATGCTTGCTTGGCCAATGCACCGCCATCTCGACTGAGGGAGTCTATTCAACCTTGACTTGACTCGATCCAACCATCCAACGGACCCAAATAAACCTGTGAAGGCTCAAGTTGATTTTGTGTTGCATGTGAAGTTGTAGTTTGTTACAAATCTTGGATGGTACCTGATTCTTTGTGCCTATCACCAAATATTTTCTAATCATCTTCTCTCATCTTGTCCCGTCTCATCTCCTTGATAGGAGCATGAAATCTTATGCCTATTAAGGCAGGAACTTGAGTCACTTGCGACTTGCAAGTCCAATAACCAAGCTTGCGAGTTTTGGATTGCAACTATGACTCGCGAGACAATTACGTTGACTTGAATAAGTCCAGTCATACCCCTCTCGGGTCGAGTCATGAGAGGGATATGTTTGGACTGGTCGCGACACGTGCTCATGTCTACCTTGCGGTCCATTGTGCTGTACACGTCTTAAGTTTTTTAGCACTTTCCAAACTCCAGCTACTCTCAACACACAAGAAAGGATGACTTGACCAAGCTTGAGGCGCCATGAAAATGAGTTTTTTGCATTCTTTCCCGATTGTTTTTTTCAGCTCTCTGATTCTGAGCCACAACGACTTCAAGGGATCTGTGCCCACCGATGGATTAAAAAGTCTTGGTACCATGTGAGTTGTGCCGCCACACCACCTACACATCAAGCACAAGAGATGGATCCATTACTTGCCGTCTCCTATCGGTTACTTGCCGTCTCCTATCATTTACTTGCCGTCTCCTATACAAATTTGTTTACGAGAAGTCAGTCCTTCGTGGTTAAATGGTCATGCGCACGGACGTGCTTTCGCAGAGATACCCAGATATTACGACTCTTGAGCAGTCTGTGTGGCGATTCATGGCTAGGTACAGCCAAGACGAGCCAAGCCAGGTCCATGTTTCCCGGACTCAGGTGGCAAGCAGAACGAACTGAAGGTCAAACAGGGGGTCCAATCCATGTGATCCGGTAGCCCTACTGACAGCCTTGCATCACTGCAGCACGGCCGACCAGCGCTGGCGGATCAGTGCAGCGCAAACTGGTTCACCGGTGAGTGCCGAATTTAAGTTGCAGCCTCTCCTTAGTGCAGAAGGGTGTGTCAATGGCTAGGGTGGAGAAGCTGATATGCTCTGCCCGGTTGTGCTCGGTAGGCTATCCGTGCAGCTACCTTGTTGGGAGCCCATCCATGCCCTGTTGTCACCTTTTGTTGGGCCCCTGATGCTGGTTGGGCGAAGTGTGTTTGTAGTTACAACTCCCACCCATCGTGCACATGCTTGCACGAGTAACGGAACTTGAGCTGGAACTGATTGATTAGGTAATAGAGATCAAGGCAAGTACAACACAAACGAGCCATATGGGCGCAAACAAACAGCCATCCCTAAAAACATACTGGGTTGGAGATTTCGGTTGATCACATTTGGGTAGGATTAATACTCCGGATGTTCTTGAGGTAACAATCAGCCCACGTTACTTGAATCTGTGCTAACCTATACACAATGTACAAGTATAGAATGA